CTCCTGACTGCCTGAAGGGCCAGCCAGGCCGAGGAGGCTGCTCTTGCCAATGCCGAAGTGTGCCAGGGGCTGGTGCTGCAGCATCTGCTGAGGCTGGCGTGGATACAGGCTAAGAATAGCCTGGTTTGGTGCCTGAGTTTCAGGGCCGGTCGTTCTGGTGAACGACCGAAAATAGCCCTTCGTTTCAGGCTAAAAAGGCTCTTGCCATTTTTAGTTTGAAACGTTTTAGTTTGAAACGACACAGGGACTGTAGGCCCCTGTTTTCAGGCTGAATTCTAGGCTTTTTGGCTGAAGGGCGCCGGGCCTGCAAAATGGCATGCGTGTGCAGGCGCAGCATGTAACACCCCCCCCTCCTTATGAAGTCAAGCCGGGGCGAGGGCGAAGCCGACGATCTGAAGGTGGAACCTGGACGCGGGCGTGGCGTGGAACCGAAGAAACCGGCTTGCCTTGCATCTTGTGTTCATAGCGTGCGAGAACGTCTGGAGCTGTTGCTTGAAGTTCCGCACGGGTTAACCAACGGTCAGCTCGGTGTGTGCAGTATGCAAAGTGCACCAAATACTCAGTTGGCTTGTTGTTGTAGCGTCCCTGGGAGATGATGTCGCCGACCTCATGAAAACCGTCCATAGAAGGTGGGTCTTGCGTACGTCTCCCAGGAATATCGTCATGTTCCGCTGGTGTGTAAAGAGCCAACTTGGAGCAATGAAAGACTGGGTAGACCGGCAAGTGGCCAGGCAGCTGAATCGTGAAGGAAGGCCCTTCGGGTGCGTCCCCAGCGGGCGATACGATCGGCCAAGGCCCCATCCATTTCGGGAGGAGCTTGCGAGAGATGTCTTGTTCAAGGCTGAATTCCGCTGCGGAAACCCAAACAAGGTCGCCTGCGCGGAATGGGCAAGGAAGACGCTGGTGATTGGCCTGTTGGCTCATGCGCTGCTGCGTCTTAGTCATCTGATCGCGTGCCTTGACAAGAAGCTCTTGCATCCGACGCAAGAAAAGAAGATGGTCGTCGCTCTCGACCGTTCGTGGAGTAATAGTGTCCAACGGTGAAGTGACCGGCGAGCCGTGCTCAAACTCAAAGGGCGACATCCCGATAGCCGGGTGGATAGATGAGTTGTAGGCCAACTCGACATCCGGCAGCCGCTCAACCCAGTCCTTTTGGTCGGGGGGGATGAGAGTGCGAAGGAGAACCTGTGCGGTTTGATGCGCCCTCTCCGTCTGGCCATCGGTCTGAGGGTGGCGAGCTGAACTGGGCTTGAGAGATGAGCCCCATCGCTTGATGAGTGCCAACCAAAAATCGGACATGAACCGAGTGTCGCGGTCACAGACGATTTCCTTGGGGTAACCCTTGGTTCGAATCCAACCGGCGTAGAGAACCTCGGCCAACGCCGGTGCCTTGGCGTGATAGCGACAAGGCAAGAACATGGCGAACTTGGTGAGTCTGTCGACCACCGTGAGAATCCCATCCACTCCGGTCTTGTGCTTGGGGAACGGGCCGGTAATGTCCATGGCAATCGCTTCCCTTCGCCTCAACGGGACTGGTAGTCGTCGTAACTCGCCGTACGGACGATGATTTCGGGATTTGCAGCGTCAGCAAACCTCGCATGACTCGCAATAGCGTGTGACGTCGCCGAGAAGGCCGGGCCACCAAAATCGCTCGCGGAGCCGGCCAATCGTGCGATTGACTCCAAGATGTCCGGTGGCGGGAGCGTCGTGGAACTCGCTAAGAAGCCGTGTACGCAAGTGAGGATCACTCGGTACGCAAAGGAGGTCCTTCCCCCATGTGTGGACAAGCAAGTACCCCTCTTGGATCCGGTAGTGAGAAGGCGCCGGATTAAGAGAGGAGCAATTCGCGTACTTGTCGCGAAACTCGGGGTCGGCTTGGTAACCGCGGATGAAGCTGTTCCGCAGGTCATCGTCGATCTCGAAGGTTGAGTAGACCGCGGTACAATGATCCGGACGCCGTGAAAGAGCATCCGCAAAACGGTTCGACTTCCTGGGAATGTGATCGGGAAACTAGTCGAACTGGTCGATGAAAGCCATCCATCGAGCGATGGTGCTGTTGACGGTGTCTTGGGTCTTATAGAAGACCAACGGATTGTTGTCCGTTACCCATCGAAATTGGCTTCGGCCAAGGAGGAAGTGCCGCCACCGCTTGAGCGCGTGGACGAAGGCGAGGAGCTCCTTCTTGCGTGCATCGTCAATGGAATGCACGATGGGCACTTTCTTGCTGAAATACTCGACCGGGTGCCAGTCCACGCCATCATGTTGCTCGAGGACTGCACCAATGCCATAGCCTGATGCATCCGTAGTGACGCGCGTAGGCAAGAGCGGGTCATATATCCGCAAGACCTCCGCAAACAATAGCGCGACTTTGAGAGCGAAGAATGATCCCCGCGCCTCCTCTCCGAAGTCAAACGGCCGATCCTCGCATTGAATCTTGTTCAAGTGGGCCGCGATCTTCGAGTAGCCTTTGATGAAGCGCTGATAGTAGCCGGCAAGACCGAGGAACGAGCGGACATCCGTGACGTTCCGAGGCTCCGACCACTCTTGGATGGTTTGAATCTTGTCCGATAGCGGACTGATGCCCTCCGGTGTGACAAAATGGCCCAAGTATTCCAGCTCTTGCCTGACAAATTCACACTTGTCGCGGTTGGCTTTGTACTTGGCGCGGCAGAGCGTCTCCAACACTCGTCGAAGATGCCCAAGATGATCCTCCAATGACCGGCTATAGACGAGAATATCGTCTAAGTAGATCATCACGAACCAGTCCAACATTGCACGGAATTCATTGGTCATTGCCGCCTGAAAGGTCGCCGGGGCGTTGGTGAGGCCAAAAGGCATGACCACCCACTCAAAATGCCCGTACCGCGTTTTGAACGTGGTCTTGTAGCGATCGTTCGGCTGGATCGAGATTTGATGATATCCTGATTTCAAATCCAACTTAGAAAAATATTTTGCGCCGCCCAATCGCTCAAGAAGATCGTCGATGCGAAGAAGAGGCCCCGCATTCTTGACGGTTTGCGCGTTGAGCTTGCGGTAGTCGATACACAGTCGTAGATCCTTGTTCTTCTTCCTGACGAAGAGAACTGGTGCTCCATATGGTGAGCTGCTAGGGCGGATCCAGCCCTTGGCCAACAAATCGTCGAGTTGTGTACGGAGGACCTCGAGTTCCTCCTCGCTCATCCGATAGATGCAACCTTTCGGCGGCACGGCACCAGCCTCGAGAATGATCTCGTGAGAGATCGGCCGATCCGGCACCACACCGGTAGGTGACTCAAAGATGTCGGCGAACTCGTCCAGCAACCGCACCACACGGGGGTCCGAAGACAAGTCCGTGGGTGAAGAGTCAGCTACCGTGACGGTCCGTAGGAAACATAGGCCGATCTCCTCGGGCTGCTCATAAGCGCAAGTTGCCCGGAATGATTTGGCCGTCACCACTTGGCATCGGATCGAAGGGTGCGGTAGAGGAATAGTACACGCCACTTCCGCGCCGAAGGCGTCGCGAACACTAAGAGTCCGCCGGTGGAGGTTGATCGTGTGATCCGCACTTGCAAGCCAAGGCATTCCCAGAATGATGTCGAAGTCCGTGTCGAGAATATCGAATGTCACCGGTTCGCATGCATAAGGTGCGAAGTAGACCGGTACGGCCTCGATGTAACGGTCGAGAAGCTGTTGCGTCTTTCCATCCGCCAACTTGATCGCCGTCGGGTTTGCCTTCCTCCGAACTTGTGCGTCAAGGCCAGCCTTTTGCATAAAGGATTGGCTCATGAAATTGCGAGACGCGTCGCTATCCAGCAAAGCGCTGCAGGACGCTTGCCCAACCTGAATGCGGACATACATGAGCGGTACGTTGTTGTCATCGTACCGCTGTGTGCGAAACTCGCGGGCCACCTTGGTAGTATATGCCAGGATGTCCCCCACCGCGACTTCGTCATCCGTCGGCGAAGTTGGTGGTGCATAGAAGGATAAGTAAGTGTGGAGATGAGCGCTAAGTGTTGCGCATTGCGGTCCCGGCAAGCGGCCTGTGGTCGGGAGAGGAAGCCATGCAAAGTCCTCGGACGTGAGCGGGTCCAATGCCTCTATGTTGAACTCGCGTGCCGAATCCCATGAAGAACCACTCGAAGACGATATGTCGCCGTTGCCGGACGGAGAAGAAACCACACACACTTCTTGTCCTTGAGCTTGAGTACCCAGCGTAGGAACGAGCCGGGCAGCGTAGTCCTCAAAAGAAAGTAGAGGACTATCGACTTCCGCGTGCGCCTCGGAATGAAGGCCGGTTACTCTCGAAGAAACCGGTTCCGAAGGCGTCGAGAGTGTTGTCGAGTCACTCTCGGCGGTGCTCAGTTTCCCTGTTTGCCCTTGTCTTTCAATGGGCAGACCAGCGTCTGATGAAGATCGCTGTTGCACCAAGGGCAATAGTGGAATCTCTCGCGTGCTTTGAATGCTTGCTCGGAGATGCCATATTGGGACCATGGGCCTGCCTGAGCTGCTGCACCGGGCCCGGGGCTAGATGCGGTGTGTGTCTTCGTCTTGCCGCGTCCTCGGCCTCTGCCGGGGCGGCCACCTTCCCGGGCGGCTCCGAGTCTGTCCCCTTCACTGGCAAACACAACCTCGCTGGTTTGGTCAAATGGCGCTGCGACCACGGCCACTCTTGGCCGTGCTGGTCCCTGCTCGGGCCTGACGCAGATGAACGGAGGTTCTTGGCCTCCTTGTTCATGATGATGATCTGCGCGGCCTTGTCAAACAGTTCCGCCGTCATCGTCAAGGTGTCCTCGACATGAGTCAGGGCATTGCTTAATGTCGGACATGACCTTGAGATGAAGTAATGGCGGATGGCTTTGAAGCCCATCTGGATGTCTGGGACTGACGTCAAGCGTTGGTACTCGGCGATCCAGTCCGTACTTGGCAGCGTGCCTTGCTCAAGACCATGAGCTTGTCCATGGCTTTGATCTTCGGTGGCTCCACCAATAACCGCTTGTGCCACGCCGCCTTCAGATCATCCCAACTGATCTTGGTGTGCAAGTCGTTAGCGACCACTCCGTACTTGGACAACAGGTTGTCCAACCAAGCCTGGCACGCGCCCCCTGAGCGAGAGTACAAGTATGCGTGGTGCTTGTGTTCCTTGACGTTGTGTAGCTGCAGCGTGAGCTCGAACTTGCGAAACCATGGAACAGGATCTGTCTTCATTGAGTCGCAAAAGATCTCCTGCCCGTCGAACTTTGGAGTTGTCTCACGCGGTTCCGAACTCGAGATGTTGGCGGTAGTGCAGATCTGCTGTTGCAACTATTGCGCCGCGGTCTGCTGTAATTGCACGCCATCCTTGAGTGAGCCGACGTCCATCTCCAATGCGTTGAGGCGGTCGGAAGTATTGGAAGAGCTTGCATCGGCGGCGGCGGGTGGTCGCTGCTCCAACTGCTGAAGGCGGTCTTGGACGTGAGCTAGCGAGTTGTCGAGACCGTGGATCTCCTCCTGCTGTGTAATGCAGGTTGCCAGGAGGTCTGTGAGATGCGAGAGGAGGAGCGCTATCTTGTTTGCACTATCCTCAAGCTTGCTATTCTCGGCCTCGGTCCGCCATTCCGCTGCCATTGAAAGTAACGCCTGCTCTCTAGTAAATATCTTCTCACGACGTTGGTGTCTTTCTTCATCGGCAGCCCTTGCTGCTGCCTCGTCATGCTGGCGCTGTTGTTCAATTGCCAGCAGACGTGCCTCCTCGGCATCCTCTGCCTTCTTCTTCGCTGCTGCTGCAGCGTCATCTGCCCGTTTCTTTGTCTCGGTACTCCAGGCCAGCATGCGGGCCTGATAGGCCTCGTCCGCTTCTCCGGGCCTCTGGTCCATGACTGCTGTATGTGAACGCAACAACATAGACCAGGCCGGGGCCTGCTGATGTGGTATCCTCTGCTGCTGACGTAGCACTGCTGACGTGTCCTGCTGACGTGGCCTGCTGATGTACTGACGTAGTCTGCTGACGTGGCCTGCTCTGACGTGGCAACTCACCAATGCCGCCGCAGGGGGTCCCTGGAGACAAACAGAGACGGTAAGGCGAGAGATGGCAACAACATAGGGGGGGAGGGGTGGGTGGGGTAATCGCCCAACTAATCACTCAGATGAGGAGCCACTAATCAAAAAAGAAAAGTTTGAACTTTGCAAACAAAATTTCGAGAAAAATAAAAATCCCGATTTTTTTTGCAAGTTCAGTAGGTCTCCCAACCTCCCTTGAAGTGCGAAATGATTACTGAAAAGAAAAAAAAATCGACTTCGGACTGCAAATGATTTATGGAACTGACTGACAGAATCCTAGAATCTGCGACGAAAATCCAAAAAGAAATGACAAGTATTCGGGATTTATTCAGAGAATATTCGCAGTTTGGAAAATAATACCGCAGGAGGGATTTCGCGTACCGTTTTCAGAAAAACGAATTTCGGAAGGGAAGATATTCCGAATTTTTAAGTAACGGGAAATGCAACAGGAAATCGAAATTTGCGAAAAGAAAAATATTCCGGATTTTTAACAACGAAATTTCGAATTTTCAGAAGAAAACCGAAAATGGGAATTTCAGATGTTGCGATATTGCGATTTTCTACGACAGAATAGCGAGAAAACAAAATCCAAGGAAAGAAAAAAAAATCGATTTTTGGTAGTGAGGTCAAAATCGTGATGTTGGGGTCTAATTAATGTGCTCTAATCAATCAATAAAGACTAACCAGCTATTTAGTCCCCCAACACGTGTCAGATCAGGTTGTCCTGATTCACGTGCGATGCTCCGATACCAACTGTTACATGCACAGGTATGCCATGTACGTAATAACCGAGGATCTGCAATGTGATGAAAAGGACAGAATGGACAATGCAGCGCGAGTAGAATCTCGACAGACAATGTGCATTCTCATACATACAAAAGGTGCTGAATAGCGCAGGGAAGACTTTGATACAAAACCTGACCTGACCGGGACTGACCTCATTCACGTAGTATCAAATAGCGAAGCAGAATGCTAGGATACTAATAACTAGCCCAATCAATGTTTGAACRCAGACCAAACATACATCGTATCCATCACCAGGTGTGAAGGAGCCTGGCGCTGTACACAGGAAGAAAACGCCAGGTCCAGACATACACAGACGAAGAGGAAGGAATCAGACGAAAGGAGGGAGAGAGATGGGAATGTCGTCAACACCAAGTCTTTGTCATCAATCCCAAATAATCCCTCGTTGTCATGTCTGAAGTCCAAAATGTCGAGTCTGGATCCGATGTCACCAAGCTCTGTCTCTCTTCTCGCGTAGTCTGCAGATGCAGTGAAGTCAGATGATGAGAGGGGGAGAAGGAGATGGTGGACTGAGAAGAGGAAGAAGAAGAACTCTCTCTCACTGTTACGAGCCAGATACT